TAGTGTTTTTTGGGACCAATAGACTACAACCAGGTTTTTGTTATTGTTTTGCTTCAGTTTCTGATTCATACCATTAAGTTTAGTTTCCTGTTTTAATACCATTTCTTAAAGTAACATTGATACAGTGTTCTTTTTCATTGCTACAATGTCCTCAGTAAAAGTCATATCCAAAGCAAAGTACAACATTTTATTTCCAAATTTGCTCACTCTTTTTTTTTACCTTGAGAATTTATTTTTGGAAATAAAAGGGTAAATCTTTTAAGTTGTTGAAGTATTGAATTCTAAGCTAATAAATTTAGAAATACACTTGGTTTGTGATAAAATGTTCCTGATAAAACTCTAGTTTTAATAACCGGGATAATAGGAACACATTCCAGTAATATATGTGCAGCTTGCTGTAAATGGACATTATAGTGAATTTCCCTAATTTTGAGCTCAGGATCTTTCAGCTGTCATGTCTCCATAGACTTCAAAATTCAACACTTTGTATCTTGTAGGAAAAAACCCAGGATGCCCCAAAATAGTAGAAAGTAGAATGATTTATTTATTTATTTATATTTTAAAGATGTGGGGTACAATCCAGGATTAGGTATACAAGTGGTCATCGTAGAGGTAAAGTTTGGGCGTCCCTTTGGTCCTCACTTTGCCTGGTTTGAAATCAGATACCCTTATTGATGTATCCATCTCCCTCTGCCCCGTACTCCCCCAGCAGTGTCCTGCTACTGCCGCTCCCTTTCTTATAGTATTATGGTAAATGTGCAGGGTCTGCTTATGAGTGGGAACATGTGGTACTCTGTTCTTTGTTTCTGTGATAGATCACTGAGTATGATGGACTCGAAGTCCCACCAAGTTACTGTGAAGTCCATATGTTTGTCCTTCTTTATGGCTGTGTCATATTTCATGGTGTATATGTGCCACATTTTTTCATTCAGTCCAGAGAATGATAATTTTGAAAACATTTTCTTAAAGGATTTTTATATTATGAATAAATGAAACCTACGATGCAACATAACAGTATGTATCATTCAGCATGAATGAAATGTACTTCTATGCTGCAAATTATAAAAGTGTTGCAAGTAGACAAAAATTCTATTTCCTAACTCTGTTAGGAAAAAAAGTACAGTTTAATAATTTTTAAAAGAATATTTTTTAAAAAAAGAATATTTAGTACTCTTTAGCTCTTATTTAATTTTAAAAAGATGACTTATTTGGAGAGAGATTCTAAAATGAAAATAAATCAATTTGAGGTAAGTAGTTACTCATGAGGTAATGACACTATTGAGTAATTTATGTTTTAACATTTTTGGGCTATATGAAAACTTCTCATGTTTTGTTGATAAAACTTATCCAGATTCCTTTCACCCAGAGGTGTTACTAGTTATTTCTGACTTGATTATATACCTTATTCCATTTTTACCATAATCATTCCTTTCTAAATAGGTTGCACTGTTTATGGTATGTCCTTGGTGAAAAAATTGACTACGTGCTTTTAATAAAAATAGGGCAACATAGAGGTTTTGATAACGGGACTGAAACAACAGGCCCTTATAAGCAGAGACCTTTGTGTTGGAAGAAAGTTAATTTCATGTGGGTAGAATGCTATAAGAAATTTAAGGACTTAAGGACTCTATAAATCAGTGATTCTTCTGATTGACATTTGTTAGTTAACTAACAAAAAAAATCAATGATTTCTAAAAACTATGTCGATTAATTGGCATGCAATTTGAATGAGCTGAATTAACACAAGGTTAGTTAAGCTGAAATAACAGAAGATGGAATTGTTTGGGTCTCTCTCTTTGACTAAGGAGTAGCTTTTACTCTTACTTAGAAAACATACTATCCAAGATCTTTTCCTTTCTTTCTTTCTTTCTTTTTTGTTGTTGTTTAAGAGAATAGCTTGCCATGGAAACTTAGAAATTACTTTATTTTGTATTATATTGACTTCAATATGCTATTTCCATCGATCATAAATATAATGCTATTTCCATATATGCTATTTCCATAGATACAGTATATGCTATTTCCATAGATCATACTTATAAAATAAAATAAGTTGCTATTACAATTTAGCAAAACTAGAAAATAGTGTTAATCATAAAATCTTCATCACAAAGAAACTTCATGCTAAGTGTATTTATCTTATAAAGGTAATTGGAAATTCACTTAAAATTTATCAAGTATGCATTGATTACATCCATATATGGAGTGTTCATGTAAACTTTGATTTCATTGCAGTTTCTTTGAAATGTAAGAGAAAACATCTTGCTTCATTTGTAAACCAGTACATTTTCAACTGAAACTTGATTTTACTTGGAAACAGAGACTGAAGGTTTTCTGATAGAAATATAGTGATAATGACATTTTCCAGGACTCTTTAGAGTTGATTGATAACTGAGAAACTTAGATCATTACAATTACTATTTGAAGCTATTAGATATTCTCTCTGAAGACCTTAGATGAGATACTTTGTGCATTCTTTTGTCAATAGCAACTAAAATTTTCGGAACAAATCAGGCTACCTGTAAGAATTACAATTTACTTTTGTGCTCTTTTTTCAATGAGTTCCTCTTCTGGTTTTAGAAATGACAAGAGTAGTAGTTATGTCTATCAAATAATTTATGTCCTCACACATTTCTGGTTATATTTTTATTGTATTTTTTGTTGGTCATTGTGTTTGAAAACCATTTGTAGAAATTGTTTGCGGTTGATATCATCTTCCAAAAGGAATTTTGATTTACTTTTTCCTGTCAGATGGAAGCACTAGCAATCCATGACTACCTAAATCCAGATTTGGAGCTGGTTGTGTTCTGAGATACAGCAATGAGTTGTAGGCAGGTGAGAGTTCGTTGCAGAAATGCCTTACTTCAGGTGCAAAGTAATTCCTAGAATGAAGATCTTTGAGTCGAAGCTCAGCGGGGATTAGTTTATCAAAGTGACCAACCTTCATGGGCCCTGGACTTTAACTTTTGTCTATAGCTTTGAGTGTTCACAAAAATAACTGCTTAACTTATTACCTACCTCTTTGGGTTTGGCAAATACAGGGTGAAGACATTCCAAGGGCCATACTAACTTCTCTGAGTCTTGAGTTGGTAACTACTTACTATATTGTTAGCTAGTTAAAACTTTTTTAAAAGAAGATTTTTTTTAATACTTCAAAGCTTCATCTATTTTTTTAAAAGTTATCTTCAGTGGGAAAAATATTTCTAAATTACTCTGCCATTAACAGAAGTGGAAGTCATATACTTTTTTTTCCCCTGATGATTCTAAGCCCAATAAATTTTGTAATTTTTAAAAATTTAATTTTAGTGTAGGAATATGTAGTTCAATGAGGAATAACCATATAAGTAGACTGTAAGCTCCTGAAGTTTGGGCTTCTAGCTGGCCCTCGCTTCCTCTGGACCCTTAGTGTTTTCTTGTGCCCTTCACCCTCTTCCCTCCTTCCTTCCCCTAACAGTGACTACCAATCTCTCCCTTGTGCTAATGTGACTAATGCTGATGGCCCATTCATGAGTGAGAACATGCGGTATTCAGTTATTTGTGTCTGTGATAGTTCACTTAGTATGATGGTCTCCAACTCCATCCAAGACATATATATGCTTTTGAGTTGTAAATATCCCATTATGTAATTTCCTCAAGTCTTCTTCCTTGTGAAATTACTGTTATTAATAAATATTACATTGTAATTATATATATACATATAAAAACACATGCCTATAATTTTTGCCACTTGTTGTCTAGCCTTAATAGAATAAAATTTTATGAAGTGTTACCTACAGTTTCATTTCCTGACTTACATAAATGTGCATATGTGCATAAACTTTGGTGTTAGACTTACATTTGACTCTTTATTTTTAATTCAAAGTCTTAATAATATGAACATTTGCCCTTTGTTGCTTTATGATAATTTTACCAAAAGTTTACATACAGAGTTTTCTTCAAGTGGCGTTTTGTTGGTCAATACTATACCAATGCTACATATTAACACTTTGTTTTGAAGTATTATAAAAATCTCACAGCTTTACAAATATTTAGTAAGAAGCAGCATAATATCTTTTAACAACTAGAGGCTCCCAGAATTCCTGGATATACTCTTCTCTGATAAATCATTAATTGGGGGTTTCATTCTAATGGTAATCTTTTCTTTTTCTTTTTACCGGTTATAGAAATAATGCTTTCTCCTTACTGTGATAATTTGCAGTAAGACTTAGTTTCCCAAACTGATGCTTATTAAATATCAGGAAGAATATTCCGGGGGGCCATGGGAATATCTTAGAAAGAATGGCACCCACGTATTCACTCGGGTCTCAGATGCCTTGAAACGTGTGGTCTGGGACTGGAAATGTGGCGAGGGGTTCAGTGTGACAGTCTATGGGAGCAGAGAGAGTTTGCTCTGGGACCTGGAGGGGGTAATGGAAGAGAAACGTTTAAAGAAACAAACACATGATTGGGGGAAAGTTTCCCAGGTTATCTGCACCCCAGTTGATGCTTCTATAATCCTCACACTTGTGTCTCAGGACTTCTCAAGGGCTCCCCCACCCTTTGTCCCGCCACACCGCCATCAGTGACCAGGCCTCATCTGTGCCCAAAGGCCGCAGGGCCTGCGGACAGCGACTGCCTCAGCAGGATGAAAAGCCAAAGCCTCCAACCCAGAAAGCCCCCCTCCTAATACCGAACCCAGCCTGGACAGCCTGCCCTCAGGTCTTGTCCTGAAGCTGGTTCGCTCCCAGGTCCTTCTGAGACCCCAGAATGGGGCCTGCACCCCGTCTTTCTGGCTCTGAGAGGCATTGGTCCTCAAACACACAGAAACACAATCCCAGCCTTGGTTTCGGCTCTGTTTTGGCATTTTGTCTTCTGAGGCCTTGCTTAGCGTGCCTTTCTAAAACGTAACCACTGGCTCCAATCCGATGCCGCAGAGTGTCCACTCTGAGTCTGATATCTCCCCCAAGTTGTCCCCACAGCCGACGGTGGGCTCTGCTTCGTCCCAGTGGGGTCTCCTCCAGCTACAAGGCCGCAGAGTGGGTCTCTGGAAGGTTCTCCTCGAGCTTCAGGCCCAGGTTATCGATCCCAATGCTGGTGACGGGCGCACTGCTTCCAGTTGGCTCCGCCGTGCACGTTGGGATGGAGCAGTAGAGGCTGAACCCCACCAGGATGACGGCGAAGGACAGGATGTAGAGTCCCGAAAACTTGTAGTCAAACAGAAACAGTCCAAAGAAAAGGCTGTAGAGGTCCACTGTCAGGATGCCCAGGTTGACAGAGGTGGCACTTGTGACTTTGATCACCAACGGCATGAAGGTGTAGAGGCAGAACATACAGAGGGCAAATGCCATGAACAGCCGGGCAATTTTCCAGTCCCAGTGAATGCTGGCAATATCCTTATACTCCACAATCAATAGCTGTATGTCATTGATAACTGTTCCAAATAGGCCCACCATTCCTAAAAACTCCTGTCTGCTCATCTTCTTCAAGATGTCTCCTTCCCAAAAATTAGAAACGGCGTAAAGGGACACCCCAAGAAACACCAAGATGTCACCAATCAGCACATCACTCCCTGAATTGTTCCTTCCTTGCAAATATGTCTGCTCCAACCATGGTTCCTATGCCCAACAGACAGACACGGCAATGAAGTGGATCACTCTGTACCTCGCATAAAGAATAAACCACGAGAGAGTCATCAGCACAGGAATCCCGAAGCAGTCCAAAAGCTGGACGCTGGTCAGAGTCGTATACTGGTAGGCTCTGACAATCAGGTAATTTGTTTCCACATCTGCTAGTCCCAGTAGAATATAAATATACTTCCACCATTTTCTTCTGAAGATTTCTAGAAGGTTATCACTGCCTGGTTGAAATGCCAGCATCACAGTACGAATGAGGAACAAGCAATAGTTAAAGCTCTGAAGCATGGGAGTGTTCACTTTGTATCTTTCTGCCAAATACTGGCTGGTGATGGCTGTCCCACATATACACAAGGACAGCATCTGGCCCAGAGCAATCGTTTTCAAAATATTCCAGGTGCAGAGCTGGCCTCGGACCCTGCGCTGCAGCCTATGGACCGCGCCTGTGCGGCCGGCAGGGGCCGGCTTCGCCGCTCTCCTGCGACCCTCGGGTTCCTCCGCCGGGCTCCCACCACATGTGACTCTTGTGTTCGCAATCATACTACCTATGTTACCTTGCACTACGTAGCATATTAAATTATCTTCGTCTAGGTTTTCTTGTATATAAAATGAGAATTTCCTTTCAGTTAATGGAATATTGTATAGTATATGCATAACACATTATTTTCACATGATGAGTATGGGACATTTCCTATTTTTACCTCTCATATTTAACTAATCTTTCAAGATTAGTTAGGTCTTTGAGAAGCAGACCAAGCATGTTTTTCCCTCCACAATCTCTGGCATTATTATCAATGGTTCAATAATGCCCCTCTTTCAAAATTAATTATTATTTTTGTTATTATTCTATTTGCCCATTTCCTCTAATAGACTGTTAATTTCTCAAGGACAGGGTCTGTGTGGTGCCTCTCTCTGTCTCCAGAATCTAGTCAATTTCTCACACAATGCAGTGCTCAACATCTATTTAAAGACATAAATATTTATATTTGGTTGTTTCAAGGATTCATCACATACCTTTCAGCTTGAATGGCAAAAGATAAATAAAAGTAAATATTTTTCTGTGAATAGTGTATCTAGATCCTAAAATTGCATTTTGAACTATGTACTACCTTTATATGAATACTGAAATTTTTTTTATGTACCCTAAAAACTTTATATGTTTCTAGGAACATAGGAATTTTTTCACATTTCTTCACTCTGTGTGAATACAATTTTTAGACATTTGTTATGTGCTTTATGCACAGTATATAGTACATTTTCTAAATGTTCCATGTGTGCTTGAAAAAACATTATTCTGCAATTGTAGTGTAATGTCCATAGCTCGTTTGTTAATTATATTTCCAGTCATCTATAGCCTTACTTATTTCCTTCTGTTCTACCAGCAACTAAGAAAGAAAATTTACAATCTTCCACTCTAATTATGAATTTCCCCCTCCTTTTGGTACTGTCAATAATAAATTTTTTAAAGAGCACATAATTAGGTATATAAAAATTTAGATATATTAGTATTACCTTATGGAATTTTAAAATATGCTCTTGTCTCTTACTTTCTCTTCTATGTTTTCCACGTTTTTGCAGCATGCTGGATAACTTATCCTCATCTGTCTTCTAGTTTACTGCTTTTTGCTGCTTTATAATTGCATCTGGTTTGCTGGCCAAAATGCTCATTGAGTATATTTTGTAATTTTTGAATGCTATTTTGTATATTATTGTATTAAGATTTTATAATTATTTTGCTTTATATTTATCTAATTTTATTGAATTTGATTATTTTTAAAATCCATTTTTCTAGCTTTTCATATCCTGCTGATAATTTTGAGGTTGTTATATATTTCTTTAGAGTAAATACAGCCATTTTGTAATTTGTGATAATGTCAATACATGAAATTGTCTTTTTTCTTCCAGGTTCCTTCATATATATATATGTTTTGTTTTTGGTTTTTTTTTTGCATGCATGTTTAATTAGATCGGATTCTCATCACCCTTGAAAAATCACTTTTGGATATTACCCAAAGCTTAAGGTCTAGGTACCTTAAGGTCTAGGCACCTTTTTTGGTGAGACAATCTGCTTATACTTCAGTGAGTAGTAATAATGTAAGATCACCTTAAACTAACTTTGGAGCTTAAAGTTACAAATCCGCACAAAACTAAGAATGAGATTTTAGGATAGCAGATTTCTTAATCACTATGACATAGTACCTCCTTCCAAAATGCCTTTGACAAATGAAATAATACATTGACAGAGATTTCTCCCCAGCAAGGAAAGCCTCATACCTTAGCAGGCAGAGTAACACACTTCTAATAATAGAAATATTAATAACAGTGACTGTTCTATGTATTGAACATTTACTCTATGTCAGGCACTATAAAACACTTGATCTACAATATATTATTTAATCCTTAACACAACCCTGTGAAGTAGTTACTGTTATCCCTATTTTGCTGTTAAAAAATCAGACCCTATGCAGCTAAGCAACTTGCCAAGGGTTACAATTGGCTAGGAGCAGAACTGAAATTCATCCTTAGCTTCCTCAAAAACTGACAGTATCACTCTATATGACTGTTCCATCTCTTTTTTCCACAAGGCAAAAAGAGACGTAGTCTATATATTCATAGTATAATTTATTTTAGAAACATATGGGCAGAGAGAAAGAAAAAAACAAAAGTCCATAGTATCATCTCTGGCATTTTTCCAAAAAGTACATTAGCATGTTAGTATAGGAACAGTTGTTGGCAAAGAAATACCTAAGCTCTACCTTGCCTTGCTGTCTTATGTAGACAGTTAATTCATTTTATCCAGTCTTAAATTAATTCTCATGGTGCACTAAGCTGTTTTTGTGAGTGAAGGTCATAAAATACATTTGAGTCCTTTTGGATTTTAAAAAAAGTAAAATACCTTTTTATATCTGATTAATGTTGTTTCTGCCTAAAGTATTACTGATGACATTGGAAACTGATACAAGTCTAATTTATATTTTTTTAAGGAAGAAATAAGAAAAAAATAAATGAAAAAGAAAAGAATTTTATTTTTGGTCAACTTGTAAGTAAAATTTTTAAACAATTCACCCTCAGTTAAAAGGGAAGAATATAAGGACAAATAAATAAGCCAACCAAAAAAAAAAAAAAAAGAGAGAGAGATGGAAAATCAGGAAAGATATGTGATTTATTAACAGGCACTGGCATTGTGTGAATCAAAGAATCTCTCTTCTTTCTTTTCTGCAGGGTAAGGAAACCAGTCACTTTGAAATCTTAAAACATTTTATTTATGTTGCTACATTGAATTACACGGCTAACACCACGGTAAATTTTTTTAATTTGTAAAATCAACGTCAGGATTATGATTCTCTGTGGTTGGAAACTTAACACTACTTTGCTCTATGTGTCTCAGAAGTTCTTTTAAATCTTTTTGGATAATTTGTGACACTGCATTTAGAATTATCTTTCCAAATTGTAAATGCGACCATAGAACTTCCTTGCTTAACATCTGTTAGCAACTTTTCTTTGCCTAAGGGATAAAATGGAAATACTGTAGCCAGTTTACATTATCTTTTGTTTTCCAGCCTCTGGCTAACTCTCCAGTCTTACTTTACATCTCCTGCATACTCCCCCTGTCCTTCAGCTACACCAAATATTTGTTATTGCTCAAATGGGCCATGCTGCCTCAGGTTTCTCTGCCGCACACACACTGTTTGTCCTCCCTGCAATGCTTTTTGTCCCTGACTTCCAGATACATTCATTCTTTAAGACTCCATTCACTTATCACTCCCTCTTTGGCTCTCTTAGGCCAACCCAAGAGAAAGCTGCTGAGTACTCAGCCAGTGAAGCCTCCTGGAACCTTGCCTTCTCTTCTCTAGTAGTACTTTTCCGTGTTATTATAATAACTGACATGGTTGGTACTACTTTCCTAGTGGACCTTAAGCCTGGTTTATATTTTAGTGAATAAAATGTGGGTGGATGATACTTAATTCACAAAGTTGTAAAACAATGGATATGAAAGTTTTTGTAAGCTATCAGACACTACAGAATTGGTATTTATACATGTATTTATCTCTCTTCTGCTCAAATGCTTAGCATGCAAATCATGTCAGACTACTATAAAGACATTCTGAAGAGAGATAAAAATGACACGCCTTCATGATTAAGACGATAAGGTGTGCAAAGACCATGAACATCATTAGGAATTTAAAGAACATTCTCTGACATCAGAAAGCCTACACTGCACCGTGAGAAGAGACATTTAAAAAAAACAAAGGAACTATACCTTGGAATAACAAATGATGATGGATTGCTTGCGAATGACTGGGTCTTTGGTGTTCAGTATACTTGGTAGTTTACTGTGAGTGGGCAGGCCATACTGAAGAAGCTAGCTTTGAACTAGGTCTTTAGATAAGGGAGATTTATATATGAGGGGTCATGGCCTTTTAATTGAGTGGGTGTGTGCAGAGGCTTAGAAAGGAGCTATGTTCTTTTCCATTAAATTTGATATACTGTGAATACAACTTCCTCTTTGAAATCTTCTCCTTCATAGATTTTTGTAGCACTGACCACATGATAAAATCTTGTTTAATCTTCTAGATTTAGCTCAAAAGCTACTAAAAACACGCCATGGAAGTATTCCTTTTCTCGCTCTCTGAATTTCCAGGAGTATCACTTTATTCAGGGGCAGGTTCAACTTTATATGACAGAATTGCTTCTCCCTGAACCTCCACAATAGTCTAAGCTAGCTCTAATCATCATGTTTAAGTATCAGACAGCAGAAAATAGGAAGAAAAGAAAGACCAAAGACACATGACTCTATAAAGACCTTACCATGAAATTCAACTCAACAACTTTGGCTTTCATTTCATTAGCCAGATGTGGCATCAAGTGGTCACATCAGCTGCAAATGAACTTGGTAACCAAGTCATACATAACTACAAGGGTGGCTGAGAACTTTGCAGACCAGAATAAAACTGGGGTTTGGTATTAAGAGGAAGAGAAGCATGGATATTGTGGGGGTAGCTGTCATTCTCTAACACAAGCATATTATTTGCATGCTTCTTGGGACATTTATCATTATCTTATTATCATTATTTTATTATTTCATGCTAGTTATTTGTGACAGTGAACTTCTCACCAGACCCTAATATCTTGAGGCAATGGACATATCCTATACATGGTTAAAGAGTATTAGTTAACTCTGTAAAGACAGAGAACTGGATGGGATTAGAGGGTGTATGCTGTAGGATACTGAGAGATATTAAGACAATATCGATTAGGTCTAGATTACAAAAGCAAAGAATATATAAAAATAGCATTGCTAAAAGTTATAAGCACTTCAATTTCTATGAAGGACAACCTATTTAGAAATTATCTCTCAATTTATTTTGAAATTTTCATGTTAATGCAGTGACAACCAACAGTCTTTTTTGAATTGTTCTAGAGGAGAAAGTGGATATGACATTGAACCATCCAAAGCTAATATGGAGAAAAAAGGAAAGCTGACAGGCACGGTAGCTCACATTTGTAATACCAGCACTTTGGGAGGTGGAGGCGAGAGG